GACTAATACCAAAAGTGTAGGGGACTTCAACAGCCCCTTACAACAATGAACTGACCATCTAAGCAGAAAATCAACAAGGAAACAATGGCTTTGAATGGCACACTGGACCAGATGGACTTAACAGATATACTCAGAACATTCCATCCTAAATCAGCAGAATATACTTTCTTCTCCAGTGCACATGGAACATTCTCCAGAATAAATCACGTACTGGGACACAAATCAGCCTTCAACAAGTACAAAAAGATCAAGATCATATGCATATTTTCAGACCACAATGCTATGAAACTCGAAATCAACCACAAGAAAAAATTTGGAAAGACAACAAATACATGGAGACTAAAGATCATCCTACTAAAGAATGAATGGGCTAATCAAGAAGTTAAAGAGGAAATTGAAAAGTACATGGAAGCCAATGAAAATGATAACACCACAACCCAAAACCTCTGGGACACAGCAAAGGTGGTCATAAGAGGGAAGTATACACCAATCCAAGCCTTCCTAAAGAAGGAAGAAAGAAAGGTCTCAGAAATACAACCTAACCTTACACCTTAAAGAGCTGGAAAAAGAAGAGAAAATAAAACCCAAAACCAGCAAAAGAAGGTAAATAATAATGATTAGGGCAGAAATCAATGCTATTGCAATTTAAAACAAACAAACAACAACAACAGTAGAACAGTTCAATGAAACCAGGAGCTGGTTCTTTGAAAGAATTAACAAAATTATTAACCCCCTAGCCAGTTTGATGAAAAAGAAAAAGGAAAGAACACAAATAAATAAAATCAAGAACAGGAGAGATCACAACCCAACACTGCAGAAATACAAATGATAATAAGAGAATATTATCAGCAATTATATGCCAATAAATTAGGCAATCTGTAAAAAATGGACAAATTCCTAGAAACATATAAACTACCAAAACTGAAACAAGAAGAAATAGAAAATCTGAACAGACCCTTAACCAGTAAAGAAATCAAATTATTAAGCAAAAATCTCCCCAAAAAGTCCAGGATTGGATGCCTTTCCGGGGGAATTCTACCAGACACTTAATTTTTTTTTCCTTAGTATTTATTTATTTCTTGAGAGACAGAGTGCAAGCAGGGGAGGTGCAGAGAGAGAGGGAGACACAGAATCTGAAGCAGGCTCCAGGCTCTGAGCTGTCAGCACAGAGCCTGACACGGGGCTTGAACCCACAAAGTGTGGGATCATGACCTGGGCGAAAGTCAGATGCCTAACAGACTGAGCCACCCAGGTGTCCAGAAGTCTACCAAACATTTACAGAAGTTAACACCGATTCTTTTGAAGCTGTTCCAAAAAAAAGAAATGGAAGGAAAACTTCCAAACTCATTCTATGAAGCATCATTACCTTGATTCGAAAACCAAACAAAGAAGCCACTAAAAAGGAGAACTACAGACCAATTTCCCTGATGAAGACAAATGCAAAAATCCTCAACAAGATACTAGCCAACCAGATCCAGCAATACATTAAAAAAAAAAAATTATTCACCACAACCAAGTAAGATTTATACCTGAATGCAGGGCTGATTCAATATCAAAACAATCAATGTGATACATCACATCAATAAAGGAAAGGACAAGAACTATATGATCCTCTCAATAGATGCAGAGAAAGCATTTGACAAAATAAAGCATCTTTCTTGATAAAAACCCTCAAGAAAGTAGAGCTAGAAGGATCATACCTCAAGATCATAAAAGCCATACATGAAAGACCCACTGCTAATATCATCCTCAATGGGGAAAAACTGAGAGTTTTCCCCCTAAGGTCAGGAACATGATAGCGATGTCTACTCTCACTACTGTTATTCAACACAGTATCGGAAGTCTTGGCCTCAGCAATCAGACAACACCAAGAAATAAAAGGCATCCAAATCGGCCAGGAGGTGAAACTTTCACTCGTAGCAGATGACTTGACACTCTATATGGAAAATCCAAAAGATTCCACCAAAAAACTGCTGGAACTGATCCACGAATTCAGCAAAGTCGTAGGATCTAAAATCTATGCACAGAACTCAGCTGCATTCCTATATGCCAATAATGAAGCAACAGAAAGAGAAATCAAGGAATCGATCCCATTGACAATTGCAAATTGCAAAAGGTAGTTAGTCTGCTGCATTTTATGCTATTGCCTTTTTAAATGTTTAATAATTTTTAAGTTTGTATTTTGAGAGAGAGAGAGAGAGATCAGGGGAGGGGCAAAGAGACAGGGAGAGAGAGGGAGAGGGAGGGAGAGAGGGAGAGGGAGGGAGAGAGGGAGAGAGGGAGAGGGAGAGAGAGGGAGGGAGGGAGGGAGGGGGAGAGAGAGAGAGAGAGAG